TTATAGCTTGCCGAACTTCTTTCTGGGCTCAGCTCCCCGTCTTTGACTTCATAGATTCTGATTCCAACCAGTTTTTCTTCCTTTGTTCAGGAGCCTCTGACCAGGGTTGCTACCAGTCAGCCATCTTCCCAGAATCGCTATCTCTCTTTCAATGCGAAAGAGAGTCACAGAGTATCATAATATGTTAACCAATCATAAAGATAATCCCTCCCTTTCTCATCACTATTACTTTCAAAGTTTGATGTAATGTTCACAAATATAACATTTTTTTTGACCATTCATTGTTGACATTTGGGGGGGTGGGACAACAAACTATAAGTTCTGTGGTAAATGAAAGTTTTTATCCAGAAATAGTGTACAATTCCTATGATTAATATAGTAAGGTATAACTGATATATAATTGTTTGAAACTATTGCTTTTTAAATTACAAATTTCTAAGTCATATAAAACTATTTCACTAAAATAATTCTAGCAAGTAATATTTTTAAAAAATTTTTAGAGACACACATTTTAAGAAATTTGAATTTTGTCCTATATTATATTAATATCATTCTCAAATAAGCAGAAAAATGTAAGTGATTATGCAGGGGATATATATATATATATATATATATACCAGTCTCTTAGATTCTAAAATTAACATTTACCATAGTTGCTTTTCACCTTCTTCTATTCATGTACCTCTCAATGCATCAATCAATCCATCTTGTTTTTTAACGTATTTCAAAGTAAGATTCAGGCAGCAAATAATAATAATAATAATAATAAATAAATCACCCATAACGTATTAAATTGTAATTTCTTGTGCTTGTCCATAAAAGTAAAGTCCCTTTTGCCTACACATGGGTATGTGGTTAATTTCCAATGATGAATGTGGTTTGCACTCAAGAGCAGAGTTCTGCAAACGACAGCCCTTGTGCAGAATCTGGTGCATTACATGTGTTACTAAATAAATTTCTATTAGAAAGTAGTTATATCCATTTACTTACTTTTTTTTTTTGCAGTTTTTGCAGTTTTTGGCCAGGGCTGGGTTTGAACCCGCCACCTCTGGGATATGGGAGGTGAGCCACAGGCACCGTCCTACTTACTCCTTTTAATGATTATTTTGGCATTTCAGTGGTGGAGTGGTTCAGTTGTATGGAGACTACATAGCTCTCTAAGCCTAAGATATTTACTATCTGGCCCTTTTATAAAGTTTGATGACCCCTGTTTTTACTCAACTCTGTCCCTCAGTGCCCCTGTAACCTACATCCAATATTTTCACCAAATTAGAATTTAGTTTTGTTTCTTCATGTGCAAAACATGGAATTGGGCTAATGGATCTGAGATTTTGTCTCTCTCATCTTTTTTGATTCCTCAGCTTATATTTATTTTATTCTCTTATTCTTCTCATTATTGAGTCATTGAACTTTCTTAGTTCTAGTTCATGTTTATAGGTAGAATTGCTTCTTCTCCTTTAATTAAAAATCCAACATAGATCCTGGCATGCAAACCAAATTTCAAGTTTTATTAAAATTAGTCTCCTAATGTTCAGGTCATCTTATATCATTATTGACTAAGGACTCACCTCACAGACACACCTTGCAATTTTTCCCAATTTAATCCTAGAATAGTGACCCTGAATGGTAAAATGCACTATAACTGCCCCAGATTAATTCATCCACAGTTACGGAGGAAAATCAGAATTATCATATATGCATACCTACAAATCATCTCTCCCAATTAATGTATTTTCAGTGGACTAATTCTTAGTGTTTAATACCAAATTTGCTAGGAGAAACATACATTTCAGTATAGCACTTTTGTCTATATATCTCTATAGCTCTGCAATGCATTTTTAGTAAAAGAAATGGTGCTAAAGCCTCAAGTTGCAAGTAAACAGCATTCTGAATTCCAACAAAGTGGATTTGTCCCTTAGAAATGTATGGCATTAGGTGTGGAATTCTGAATTTTTCTTTGTCATTATTCATATGTTGTGAGAGTATTTCCACAGAACTTATCACATGTCGTTTTTGCCTAACTGACCAAGATCGTGAAGAAGGAAACACAGGGAGAAACAAAATAGATTACAGTAGAAGAGAAGTTAACACTACTTGTATGTCATTTGCTAATCATATTAACCATATTACTGATGATTTAAAAATTTAGCATTTTACATAGCAACATGATAATAGGTCATATCTACATATTTAGATAGATGGATGTATATATTTACCTGTTTGTCTATTGTCTTTCAATCTACCTGTCTACCTGTGATTTCATTATATTTTGCAAATTGGAAAGGAGTTTGGGTTAGATGGTCAACACCTAAATATTTGGCCCATTTAAGGCAAATGGAGGTTTTCCCATTTGACTACCACTTTTTCTCTTAATAGTAGATTTTAGTAGCTATGCTTATGGAATATATTAAAATTGCCATGATCTGAAGAGGGAGGTTTTCTTTTTTTTTTCTTTTTTTTTTTTTTTTGGTGGTCTCCTTCTATATGAAATGGCTGAACAGAAAGTTAACTGCCTATGACATTTTGATACTGTGTTAAGCATGATGAAAGTAAAAAGTTTGAGCAGTGGGTGTTTTTGAGCAGCAAGAGTTTTTCTTTCCCATACCTTAAGAAAAGTAAAAAAGTAAAATAACATAAATGAAGGTAAGCCAAGTTGGTTTGGATCTTTTTGATTATAACCCAAATCTCTTAAGTTTATTCTTGTAATCCTGATGCTTTCAATAAATCACACTCTCCATTTAAAACTGGGTTTAAACTTTAACCAAATAAATTTGTTCTCAGGTTTAGAAAAGAAAATCAATTTGTGCTTATTAAAGTAATTAGCTAATCATTGGAAAGATGCAATCTGTTTTATAATGACTGCTACTATGAGTTGATTCTGTGAGAAGCAGACTCTGAGATAGAATTTACCATGCAGGAGCTTAGTCAGAATTTCTATTACCAGGGGTGTCCAGCCTTTTTTCTTTCTCTGCCACACAATGAAAGGACAAGAGTTGTCTTGAGCCACACATTAAATGCACAAATACTAAGGAAACCGATTAGTAAAATAAAGGTCCATGCATACTTTTCATGATATAGGACAGCAAGATAAGAAAAAAAAATCCTCACAAAATCACAGCATGTGGCCCACAGGCCTTAGGGTGGACACCCATGTGTTAAACTGAGGAAGGGAAGATAAGGAAGCAGGATTTAGAAAAGGCTTCAACACAGTCATAAAGACAGCCTTGACCAACGCCCATGAGTATTTCTGCTGCCAGAATAGACCTTCAGAGTTATCTAGAGTAAGGCTGATATGACCAGGACTTTACATGCCTATATTGTCTGATATTTGATGTATACCAGTTTGGAAGGAGCACCAACCTTAGTGGAGGTGGCTTTCTGCAAATAAGTCAATCCATGAAGAAACTGACAGCCAAAGGCATTGTGTCCACAGCACTCTCAGCAGCTAAGGCAGTAAGTCCCTTATTGAAGAGATATCTGTATATAAATTGCAATGTTCCTTACAACTAAACTATTTTGACATAAGCTACTGCTAGTTTCATGTCAGTAACTATTTCTGAATGTGTTATAGCCCAAATAGGGTCCCTCGTCCACTGCCCAATGAAGGCCAATATACTGAGATAGCAAGGGTTGCAGCAGAATTTTATTTTGCAAGGCACCAGGCAAAGAGATGAGAGTAATATCCACATCCATCTCCTCAAGAATTTTTGGGAAAGGAGTTTTAAAGATTTTTGGCTGGCAAAGACAATTAGATCTGTGGATTGGCTGAGGATGAGCTCATAGGGTTGGGAAGCAGAGATTATCTTCTCAATAGGGGGATTTCCTGGGTAAGGGGGTCTCGAGCCTGTTACATTCATTCCCATGCCTATCCACAAGTCTGGTTGGTATCAGTAGATCTTCCTGGGGTGTGGAATTTGAAAAATACCTCAAAACCAGTCTTAGGAATTACAACAGCAATGTTAACTATAGAGAGAAAGTCTTGAGATTTATAAGAGCAATATTATTAATCTCTCTGGAAGGAGTAGGGGTGAGTTGCAAATCTTATGTCTATCAGGAAGGATAGTGTCATTAAGCAGTAGCCAGTTAACAGGAGCAAGGAAGTTAGGGAGCAATGGCTGGTTAACTTCTGGCTATATCTATAGTTTTATAGACGTCAGACTTCTATTACTTTTTATAACTTATGGTTCTATATTATTTTTAATATGGATGATTTCAACTGTATTTATTTTTCCCCCAAATGTAGCTTATCAAAAAGTATTCATAAGATGTTAGGTTATAATTATATTGATTTGTCCTTATATGCCGATATTGGTTTCTGAAGTGAGGACCAGAAATTATTCTTCAAAATAATAAAAAAATATAGTAGAAATAGTGTTGATCTTCAGACTTGGGAAACGCTGCATTAGAGATCAATGAGTGACCACTTTTTGGGTCTGTCTGTTTAAGTTGCTAATATCTGGTATATAGCATAAAAGTATATAATAATGAAACTTATGTCTTATACTTTAGGAGGCAAATGAAAAAAAATAACGAATTCATTCAGAAATCATAGTTATTTGTGCCTTTTGACATGTGTGTAACAAATATTGAAAATTGTCTTTTTTCATGTTATCATGTATGATGGTTGCATCTACCCATTATCAGTCAAAGTTATCAACTAAGAAATGCTGTTGATAAATTGGATTCATTTTTAGTGATAGTAATTGTGCAATGTTCTTTAAGTGAATAGTAGCTTGTGCCTAGAAGCTAAAAAAAAATGTTTATTCCATAGAATTTCATGTCAGTGTAACTTTATGCAAACTTTTACATTTAAACTTTAAAGGGAAGCATCTCAACAATTGCTTGGTAGTTTTTCCAACTGTGACTCTTTTTCTGCCTTGTTAAAATGCATCAGAGGTGACTTTATTATTGCTGGTACTTTTTAATAATTTCCTCACAGTGTTTTAACTACTGGCATTTTTATAATTCCCATATTTTAATTAAGCAAGCAGAAAATCACATTATTGACCTGAATATAATCACACAGTACACACCTACTATCATGTTCTTTTGTCTTTAAAAACTGCTTATAGCTGGGTGTGGTGGCTCACTCCTATAATCCTAGTACTTTGAGAGCCCAAGGCCAGAAGATAGCTTGAGGTCAGTTCAAGTATAGCTGGACAACAGTGAAACCTGAGTGCTACCAAAAATTATGTAAAAAAATCAGGGCATGGTGGCACATGATTGTAGTCACAACCACTCAAAAGACTGAGAGGAGAAAATCTCAAGCCCAGGAGTTTGAGGTTGCAATGAGTTATGATGACACCACTGCACAGTAGCCAAATCAACAGAGTAAGACCACATTTAAAAAAAAATTAAAATTGACTTGTAATAGTGACTTTGAATTCCTTATTCCCTATACTTATTTTATTCTATTTCATATCTATTTTTATTACAAAAACAAATGTAAACAACTGTGAAGCGAAATTTAAAAAGAAAAAAAAAACTACCAAGCAAATAAATAAGCCTATTCATTGATTCTAGCAATCTTAAATATTATCTCTGTAACTTATTTATTTTTATTTCAAAATATTAAGGAGGTACAAATGGTTTGTTACATGGAAAGCTTTTATAACACTTGAGTCAGGGGCATAAGTGTGCCAATCATGAAGGTACTGTTCAGTGCACCCATTAGGTAGATTTTTGACTCTCCTTTTCACTCCCCAGCCCTGGGGTTTATTTCCAATGATTTTTACTTCTCTTTGTACACATGTATGCCCCTCGGTTAGTACTAATTTATTAGCGAGTACATGTAATGTTTGTTTCTCCATTCTTGAGATACTTCTCTTAGGATAATGATCTCCAGTTCCATCCAAATTGCTGCAGAAGACATTAATTCATTCTTTTTATGGCTGAGTAGTACTCCATGGTGTATACATGTAATGACTTCTGTCCCTTTGGGTAAATGCCCAGTAATGGGATTGCTGGATTGAAGGGTAGGTCAACTTTTAGCTCTTTGAAAAATCTCCATACTGTTTTCCATACATGTGGTAATAACTTTCAGTCCTATCAACAGTGCATAAGTAAGTTTTCTTTTCTCTCTGCCTACATTTCAGCATCTATTTTTATACTTTTAAATAAAAGCCACTCTAAAGGGGTAAGGTAATAGTTCATTGTGTTTTTAATTTTATTGCCCTGATGATTAGTGATATTGAGCATTTTTTCATGTGTTTGTTGGTCACTTGTCTATCTTCTTTTGAAAAACCTTATTTAACCCATTTTATGATTGTCTGTCAGTGACTATCAACAAGGGCTGGCATTTCAACCCCCTGATATATTCTGTTTATTGCCAGTGATAGCAATGTTGTTGCTGTGCAGAAGTTTACTCATCCATGATCCCTAGTGCACTCTGCTCCCCTGTGATTTTTCCCTTTATAGTTCATCTTTTCTTTTTTTTTTTTTTTATTGAATGGTAACTATGTACATCAATGCACTTCTGGGGTACAGTGTGGGGTTTTCACATGCAATCTGAAATACTTCCATCAAACTGGTCAACACAGTCTTCATGTCATTTTCTCAG